TGTCTGTTAGTGCATCGCAGACCGGCCAGCCTCATGGGGCACAGAGCATAATAAAGAGATCTACCTAGAGCTGCAAACAGATGTCCCTCACACCATCACACCATCCATTCTCTTCTACTTTCAACTTAAGTGATCTTGCCAGGACTTTGAATGGAATGAATTGAAAGGTACATGATGACCAGGCTCGGTGGCTCAGCCTATAATCCCAGCAATTTGGGAGGCCAAGGCGAGTGGATTGCCTGAGCCCACAGGTTTGAGACCAGTCCAGGGAACTTGATGAGACCTCATCTCTACAATAAAACAAAAATTAGCCAGGCATGGTAGCATGCATATGTAGTTCCGGCTACTTGGAAGGCTGAGGTGGAAGGATCACCCAAGTCCAGCAGGTCGACACTGGGGTGGCCGTGAGTGTGCCACTGCACTCTAGCCTGGGTGATGGAGTGAGACTCCAACTCAAAAAAAAAAAAAATAGTTACATGATTATATGGAAGCCAGAGAGTTACTTCTAGTGCAGATTTGTACAGCTATAGAAAGGAGACTTCAGGAAGAGTGCATTAGACTGTTGGGGCCCTTCACCATGTCCTGAGTCACTGATGCTGACAGCATTTGAGGTAGATGAGGTTGAGGTTGGGCTATATCAAGCATGGGTGAGTCATGCACTCTCTGCCTTCTCGTATCCCAGGATCCCTTGAATTCCCCTTTTAGTCTCCTCTGCACTCAGCCATCAATGCTTTCTTTCCGGCCATTTCCTTTTTTTCCTCCAAAATTCTTACCCACTATGACCAGAACCATGTTAGTTTGAACCACATTGTATTAAGACCTGGAATAAAGCTAGAGAATGGCTCCATGTCAAGATTATCAGGAGAGAACATCAGGACCAGGACGCGGAAATAATCTGTTTCCAAAAGATAAAAATTCCCACCAAAGAGCCAAAGAGGACTAGAAGGGAACAGAGGATGAACGTGACTTCTAAATCAGATGAAAACAAGAAGGCTGGAAGCCGGGCTCGGTGGCTCAGCCTATAATCCCGCGCCTTTGGGAGGCTGAGGTGAGTGGATTGCCTGAGCCCGCGGGTTTGAGACTCGCCTGGGGAACTTGGTGAGACTTCATCTCTACAATAAAAAAAAAAAAAATTAGGTCGGGTTCAGTGGCTCAGGCTGTAATCCCAGCACTTTGGGAGACTGAGGCAAGTGGATTACCTAAGCCCGCAGGTTCAAGACCAGCCCCAGCAACTTGGCGAGACCTCATCTCTACATTAAAAAAAAAATTTTTTTTTAATTAGCCGGGGATGGTAGCACATGCCTGTATTTCCAGCTACTTGGAAGGCTGAGATGGAAGGATCGCTGGAGCCCAGCGAGTCAACGCTGGGATATCCATGAGCATGCCACTGCACCCCAGCCTGGACAACAGAGTAAGACTCCAACTAAAAACCAAAAAAATTAGCCAGGCGTGGTGTAGAATGCCTGTAGTTCCAGCTACTTGGAAGACTGAGGCAGAAGAATCACCTGAGCCCAGCAGGTCGAGGCTGCAATAGCTGTGAGTGTCCACTGCACTCCAACCTGGGCAACAGAGTGAGACTCTGACCCCCCCCCCAAAAAAAATCAGGGAAAGCATGCAGGGTTGGAAAAGGGATGAGAGAAAACTAGTTGAAATAGAGTTTATGTGACAATTTTCCATTTTTCAGTCCCTGCCCCCCTTCCCCACCCTTCATTCTCTACCCTCATGCATGTATTTTTTAATATACGTAAACAGAAAGTACATAGAAGAATTAGACCTCCAAATGCCTCCTTCCTAGAGCCAACTTTCCATTTCTGCCACCCATGAATTTTTCTCTGAAATAACCTTTTAAACTCCCCATCTTTCCTTTGCTAAGTGTTTGCTCTGAATGGTAGGATGTCAAGTGAAGAAAAGAAACAGAGAATACTTGGAATCATTGGAGCCAATGAGCTCCTAGGCGAAACACGAAAAAGAGCAAAAAACCTACACCAGCACTGGCCTTTCCTGCCAATAGGTACTGTTTTGCATTATTATGGAAGAGTAGGCACATCTGCCTACATAGCAACTGTTAGCAGGGCAATCTCTGGAAATGGGAGCAAAATATGTATGTGTGCATATGAAAGTGTGTATAAATCTATCATGTAGGTGGATGGGGAGTAGCATAGAACAGAAATCGGATAAACTCTGATTCCTATTCTATGCTATTCCCCATCTGCCTATGGGAATATACTGGAGCCAGGTGGGTGGTCAGTCAGAGATCGACACATGAGGACAAGACACATCCAGGAACAAAAACCAAAGCACTCCAAATAACTTGTGAGACAATTTGTGCCACTTTGCCCCTCTAGAGTGACTTGCCACCCTTACTGCGGAAAGCAGTTCCTCACTCCTGGCCTTGGTCTGATAGTATACAAGGAACAGCTGCCAGACCTGAGTGGGTTGGTATGTGTGAATGTGGCAACCAACCTGACACCCTCACATTCCTCCCAGTGACCTGAGGGTGGAGACCATTGCCACTGACAAGAATGAAGCAAAAGGGGTGTAGAGGGATGACAACCCCAAGCACCAGTCTGTGGGAATGCTTGCAAAGCACCAGTTGTGGAATTTGTAAAATTTTAATTGTGTTTTGAGTTTCTGTCCTTAGATTTGTTGAATGTCAAATACAGAATGTATTCTCCTTTTACTATATGCTTACCAGTTTGGGGGAAGTTCTGCCGTTAGTGATGATAGAGGGTACAAACATATGACATTGCTCAGGGAACCATTTACCCTCGCCACACCCCGGACTCTCCCTTTCTAGTTAACCCTAAAATCTCTCTAGAAAGGTGGCATCTCCTGCTCGAATACTTTCCCAAACCATCAAAAGATTCCTTAATGTTTAACATCTATCCCTTCTACTGCAGTCTCACTGTTTTGCATGTACCTTCAGAGATAAACCCTCTAAAATCCAGAATTATCAATCTGGACCATAAGACTCTTTTCATCCTGTTCCTCTGGTTTTATTCTCTTTCTCATGGAATCTTCTCTTAGTTATCTTCAGCTTCAATCCCTAGAATCTGGGAAAACTGACATTCCTTGAGAATGAGGGGAGAAACCTGAAGCAGAGACAAAAAGTAGGGAGTTTGTGGTTCAGCTTCTATAAAATCACCCCACCTCTCCCTTGAGCCTCTGTGCTCTGATCATAATATCAGGACCTCCCAATACAGCTACTGCACAGAACCACAAAGAACAATGGACTGTAGGACAGGGAGCCTTAGGAATGAACCTGGGAAAGTTACTAAGAACCAGGCAACCACAGGGGGGCACTGTGTCCCCATGGGCTAGACTAGAATGTCTAGGACCAACAAAGTAGGGAAGTCAGTCAAGAACAGCAGACCCCTCATTTACAGGAGACACACAGTCACTACCTATTTCACAAACTCACCCACCTACATGATACATTTATACACACACGCACCCATACATATAACTTGCTCCCATTTCCAGAGATTGCCCTGCTAGTGTTGCCTATATAACCAGATGTGCCTTCCCTTCTCTAATAATAATGCACAACAGCTACTATTGCCAGGAAAGGCCAGTGCTGGTTGTAGGTTTTTTGCCTTTTCTCATATTTAGCCTAGGAGCTAGTTGGCCCCAATTCCAGTTATACTCTGTTTCTCGTCTTCATGTGTCATTTCAGCACTCTGCTGCCTACCCTGCGTGTGGTCACCCAACACCCTCACCATCTAATAGCTAGCTCCATAATGTTGCTGATTACCCAATACTCCTGTCCCTCTTCTGACCCTGGCCTACCGCATTTAAAACAGACTGTCCTATGGGAGAGAGCGATGAAATGCTCAAGAATCAAGAGCATGTTCCACACACCACTTCCAAGTCAGTCAGGATGTCAGCTAGTGCATGAGTTCTCAGCTCATAGGAAAGGGTATAATTGCCTGTGGGGTTTCTATAAAGTAGTCTGGCAAATGACCTTGTAATATTCTGGCACGGTACTGTTGCCAGCAAGAATACAAAATGCTTTCTCCTTTTTACCTCTTGGGCTTCAAGAGCCCCAGAATCAGCCTGCAACAGCTGTAACATATATGAATTCCTCTTGATGGTTGTTGTTCATATTTATTAAAAAGCTATTTACAGAACCACAAACAGAATTAGCTCCCAGATCCCGCATATCCCATGGGGGAGGGGGAATTCCCCAAAGAATATCTGCCTTTATACTGTGTCCCTCCTGAAAGTCTTCAGATTAGAATAAAGTAGGAACAGTCCAAACCCTATAGTAACTTCACGAGCCCTGGTCTACTAGTTGTATTGAAACAGGCACAGATAAATCTAGGTGACCCCTAGGGAGGATCCTGCAAGAAGGTAGGTTGAAAAATATCCTCCAGCACTTCAGTCAGCTTTCTTCTTTCTCAAAGACCATGATGTTGGTGGCATCTCTGAAATCCTGATGATCTTTCTCTGTTCTGTTTTGTTTTGCTTTTGAGTTGGAGTCTCACTCCGTTGCCCAGGCTGGAGTGCAGTGGCATGCTCATGGTCACCCCAGCGTCGACCTGCTGGGCTCTGGCGATCCTTCCGCCTCCACCTTCCAAGTGGCCGCAACGACAGACGTGTACTACCATGCCCAGTTAATATTTTGACTTATTGTAGAGATGAGGTCTCACTATGTTTCCCAGGCTAGTCTCAAGCCTGCAGGCTCAGGCAGTCCTCTCACCTCAGCCTCCCAGGGCTAGGATTACAGTCTTGAGCCACCACTTACAGCCTAACCTTGCTTAATGATCCGTAACTGATAAGGATTCTCCTAAGATCTATTAGCTCAGCTCTCTCAAGCTTGAAAATATTATCAATATCAAAGACAATCTCATTCTACTGGGATGAAGCCTGTTTCTATGTGGTCATGTTTTGTGCAGTATCTGTCACTAAGCGTCTCCCATGGTTTATGCCACTTTGAGAAGAGAAGTGAGAGTTGGGCAGAAAAGGGGCATGATACAGGGACACCCAGACAAAGATCATAGTGGTGCTCTGATCCGCTACAGTTTATTGTTACAGCAGAAGTTGTGGGAGACAGGAGGGCACCCTCCACACATAATACAGTGTGGCCAGAGCCCCAGGGTAGCCCTTTCCACCTCGATGCCAAGCCCCAAGCAACCCGGCCCAAGCTTAGCTCCCTCCCCAGCCCACTCTAGATGCACACTGATAGCTACCAAAGTTAGTGCAGCCAAATGGCCCAGGCCCCTTCCTCTTGCTCCAGTGCCAATCCTTCCCCCATTCCAGCTTCCTTTTTACACACTGGATGTTTCTGTCACCTCCTGAGGACCACTAGCCTACCAGCAAGTCTCCCCCCGACACATTCATGTAGGCCCATACCCCTCAGAGGCCTGAAGGGTTCATGAGGAGCCAAATCAGCTTTGGTGAATGCAGCCCCAGCCCCAAATCCCCTCCCCTTGCAAAGACGGGGTACGTAGGGAGAGTCAGATGGAGGCACCATGACAACTACAACAACCTCTTATCCCTCATCTACAGACACCTAGATCAGGGAGAAAGGATACATGCCGTCTCCACCTCAACTCCAAAACGGGGGAGGAGGATCATTTAGGGGTCTGGGTCCCTCAGAGATATTAGAACACCTCTCCCAGGGGCTGAGGGGAATCACAGGTTAAGGTCAAGGTTAGGGTAGCAATCAAAGATCAAGTTCATCTTCCCATGTGATCTGCCCATTTTCCCTTGCGTACTCTGGCCCAATGCCCTTCTGCACCTCCCAGGTTAGTTCTGGGGGAGGTGTGGGCTGGATCCCACACTAGGGCAGCATGGGGCATTCAACATGAAACTTCCATGGTGTGCCCTGGGGGCCCAGAAGAGAGAGCCCCAGACTCGCTGCTCTGAGACAAGGTACGAGAGCGGGACCGGTTGCCATCAATGGATGCTGCACTGGTCAGAGAGGCTGTGCGAGACCGGGAGAGGCGAGTCATGCAGGATGAGGCCACTGTGGAAGACAGGAAGCACAAGCAATCAGAGAGAAAGTAGGCAAAGGACTGTCCACTCAGAGTGGGATGCTCGGATACAGCTATAATTAGGCCGGGGGGTCGAGGAGCTTGATTTGGCAGATGGTGGTAGCCCAGGAATTAACCTAAAATGGTTCCACCCCTCTGCCCTTCCTGCCTCTAGTGCAGCAATCCCTCCTCCTCATGATGGCTTCCATCCCCATACTCACTGTAGCCCATGCCTTGCAGGAAGTACTTGAAGGCCTCGGTCAGCTTGCCTGGCTGTGGAAATGAGACGAGGAGGAGACAGTGAGATGAAGTCAAAGGAGAGCGAGAACCCAGAGCTGTGCATTTGGGGACAGGGTATGTGGCAAAGGGCAGAGTTCAGTGCCACCAATATCCTATTCTACTTCCCCATTCCTGAAGAGCAGTGGTACTCACCTGAGTCAGCTGGGGTTGACCTCCAGAGTCAGCCATCTGGTCAGGAGAGAGTCGTCCAGAAAAAGTGACACATACATAAGTCAAATGAGCAGAGAGGTAGAAAAGGGTCTGTTTCCTAGCGTCCTCTCTCCAGCCCCTTTGGTTTTATCTTCATTCACCCCACTTCCTCCTATGCAGGACCCTGGAGACTTAGCCGCTGAATCTAGAGAGGATATATGGCTCTGGACAGCGGGCCAGGAAGCAAGTTACTGACCTTGAGGAACGAGGTCTGGGTGGGGTCCAGTTTTGAGTTACACTCCACCTGGAGTAAGCAAGAGGCTGAATGAATGAGGTCACACTCCCTGTGGCCCCTCCCCTCCAAGGGACCCAGAGACTTAGACCCCAGTCCCTTCCCTACAACCCCCTACCAAGTTCCACCTTACCAGGAATCAAATTATTCATTCCCCAAAGTTGATCTCCCTATGCCAAACAGGGTAGCTCCTTGTCAAGATATCACTCTGAGCACAACCCTAGGGCCCCAACCCTCCCTCAAGTGCCCAAAAATTCCCTACTGACCACTGCATCTTCATGGGGTGCTTGGTCTCCTACCACCAGCATCACAGGGCACCTAGAGGCACAGGATGGGGGAGAAAGCAGTGAGCCCCTGACACTCCCCGACCTGCCTCTTCCTAGAAGTAGGAAGAATGGAAAATGTCTTGCTCTGAAGAGGAAACAGTCTTCTGTTTCCCCCTGCTGACCCCACTGACAGGATTCAAAGGGGGAAGACCTAGAGAGAAGTGATAGGGTGACAAGGAAATTCTCTGGCAAAAGACTCTTCTTCTAAGGGATAGGCACCTAGGGAAGATCCAGGTAGAGGGACAAAGTTTTATCTCTTAAAGTCTTACTTGAGGGTGATATCACCTCCACGCTCTAAGTTCAGGTCTCGGCGGCTAGAAAGGGGTTAAAAAAGTAGAAATTTTAGGCAAGCAGTGCTATCCATCCAGAGGAAAGCTATCTTCCCCATGAGAAATCTATCTTCCTCCCCCAAATTATGATCAAATATTGGTGATTAAAAGTGGAAACCCAAGGATGAGGTGGCAAGCAGATCCCAGCCACAACCCCTATAGTCACTTGTGCCCTAGATTCCTGGTCAGAGGGCAACAAAGGGAGAGGAAGGGGACGGGACAAGAGGTCACCTTACTTCTGGGAGTCCAAAAACAAGAGAAAGGGGACAATTTCTCACAATGTTTCCCACTGGCTCTGTCCTGAAGCTCCCCTAGTTGCACACCAAGTCCCGTCTACCTTGCACACTGCATGCTTCCCAGACTTCCTCTCTCCTCCGTACCTCCCCAGGACCCCTCGTTAACACTTCTTCATTTCTCTCACATGCACATACAAACAGCCCACCTACTTGTTGTAGCTGTTCCAGTACAGTTCAATGTTGTCCAGGTTGGGTGCATGTGTAATGATATTTCTGTACTTTTGTATCAACTCGGAATTTCCAGACAACTCTTCCTGAAGGAAAGAACAGGGAGAAAAGCTAGGTGTGGAAAGGGAAGCCAACAATTGCTAGAGGAAAAGAGGCAGGGCTTCTTCCCTCCCCAGATCCTGTCCCAGCTACGGAAGTCACCCCAAGCATTCAAGTCCCCTGGGGTCCCCTCTACCCCCTCCATCTTCCACAACCACTTACCTGGCTGAAAAGATGTCCGAGGATCATCTCCGGAATGGAAGAAGTGAGGCCCGTTAGCTATGAGGAGAGTGCCAGTGAGAAAGTTCAGGACTTTATGGGGAGAAGAGACCCGGGCAGAGTGACACAGTTCGCTTTCTTGCCCCATCCTTGAAATTCAATCCATTCAGCTACTCTGGTAGAGCATAACTGGACCCATACGAGGAATTCCCACCCTAGGTCTTAGCACACAGGCCCCTCCAAACCTTGTGGGCTGCCCAATCCATCCAACCCTTGGCATTGGGATCAATGTTGATGAGGACAAGACCTTCAACTGTGTCCGGATGGTTAAGCTGAGAGCAGCAAAAGAAGGAAATCAAACAGGGTATGGCCTCATCCCCTCCCCACTGAGCCCTACCCACTCTTGGACTCGTCACTCGTACCCACTTCCTCCCCCAAACAACACTAATAAACAGGACTCTCCTAATCAGTCTGGACCCTCCTCTCCCTCAGCAGGTGTTTTTATTTTTACTTCTTACAGCATATCTCGACAGGATGTATGCTCCAGCTCCAACACCAACTCCAATTATTGTAGAGAAACTGTGAAAAAGAAATAAATATATGCCTCATGGGTTCTGGTGTCCAAAACCTGCCACAGCCTGTCTCTTCAAACGCCTCACCCTCCTTCCCCAGGCCATGGGCACTAAGGACAGAAAGGGACACAATACTAGCCGGGCTCGGTGGCTCAGCCTGTAATCCCGTGCTTTGGGAGGCTGAGGTGAGTGGATTGCCTGAGCCTGTGGGTTCGAGACCCACCTGGGCAACTTGGCGAGACCTCATCTCTACAATAAGTCAAATATTAGCCGGGCGTGGTAGAGCGCGCCTGTAGTTCCAGCTACTTGGAAGGCTGAGGCAGGAGGATTGCCAGAGCCCAGCAGGTCAAGGCTGCAGTGGCAGGAGCAGCCACTGCACTCCAGTCTGGGTGACAGAGTGAGACTCCAACTCAAAATAAATAGATAAATAAATAAATAAATAATTCTAGCCCTATGGGTCTAGGAGAAAATACTCTCACTGAAGGCACACAGAAATGGATTCCAAAATTTCTTTTTTCTTCATGACTTTGCCTAGCAGCATTAAAAGCAACCAACAATATCAATGTATTCCTTGGTTTTCCAAAATTAGTGAAGGTATAATATCAAAGTCATCAAGTTTCTTGCATCTTATCAGTGGCTGATAAGAATATTACATGTAGAAATTTGCATATCCCAGTTCATGCCATGGACTATTAGTTTTCTCTGTACTATTAGAAGGAGAGTTCTTAACATTTATAGGCATAATGACCTTAGAGATTCAATTTTACAAGCCTTAAAACCAGTTAAAGATGCTCATATTTAAAATTCTATTCATTTATAACCATTACTGGTACAAATTCTGTCTTAATCACAGTTCTCCAGAGAGACAGAACTAATAAGAGAGATTAGATAAGTAGATATTAAGGAAATTTAACTACATGATTATGGAGGCTAAGAAGTCCCAAAAGAGGTTTCTTTAAGCTGGAAAAACTTGGAAATTGATAGCATGTCTCACTGCAATTCTGAAAGCCTCATAATAAGACAAACTAATAGTATAACGCTCAGTCCAAGGCCAAAGGTGTA